GATTTATTATTGTCACCAGGTACAGTGAAAAGTTTTGTTTTGCATGCAATACAGGCAGATCATACCATACTAAGTGTTCCCCAGAATGGTGCACTGTACTTAGAGCAGTGATTGTTCTTCATGTTAACAGCATCTCAATAAAGCAGGAGTGTGTATTTAATCTTAAACTGAGGCTGAAATGTTAGAGCAGAAATTCATGTGTTTTCGATGTAATGTATCTAGCTACTAATTAATATGTAATAAACCTTTCACTGCTTAGCCAAGACCAGGTGTCGCTGCTGCCAAATACGCCAAGTGGACATTTTTCTCCACTTGGCATCAGTTGCTTGTCTAATGCCCAGATGAGGGGCATTGGAAAATGGCACGAAGTGTGATTCAAATGCATTCTCAGTCATGAGCTGAACCGATTCTGTCTGAGCTCAGATCTGCTGAAGGTTGCACAGAGGTGCAAATCTGGTCTGTTCAGCTATTTTTTGTGGATTTGATTTTCTTTAAGAGGCTGCCCCCTGTTGTTTGTTCCCAGAAATTGCAGGCAATGCCATAGAGTCAGAGAGAGCACAGAACAAGGCCCTTCGGCCCATTGTGTCTGCGCCAGTCAAAAACAATGACATTTCTAATCCCATTTTCCAACAGTTCTCCCAAAGACTTGTATGCCTTGGCATTACAAATGCGTATCTCAATACTTTTGAAACATGATGAGGGTTTCTGCCTCGACTATCATCACAGGCAGTGAGTTTCAGATTCCCATCTCCCTCTGGGTGAGAACATTTTTCCTCACATTCCGTCTAAACCTCCTGGCCCTTACCTTAAATCTGTGCCTCTTGGTCATTGATCCCTCCACCAAGGGGAAAAGTTCCTTCCTTACAGTGTGGAGTTGGAGGAATGCAGCAGGTCAGGCAGCATCAGAGGAGCAGGAAAGTCAACGTTTCAGTTTGGGACCCTTCATCAGGACTGGGGAAGAGGAAGGGAGCTGGGAAATAAATGGAGGAGGGGTGGGGCTGGGGGAAGGTAGGTTGGATGGTGATAGTTGGATGCAGGTAGCAGGTTGCAGAGATTGGTCAGTGGAAAGGGTGGGGCGTATAGGTGGGAGAGAAGATGGACAGTTTGCATCAGGTCAAGGAGGTGGGGATGAGAGGGAGGGTTGGACATGGGATGAGGCCGGGATTGGGGAGATTTTGAAACTAGTGAATTCTATGCTGAGGCAGAATATGAGGTATTGTTCCTCCAGTTTGTGTGTGGTGTCATTGCAACACTGGAGGAGGTCCAGGATGGACATGTTGCCCAGGGAGTGGGAAGGAGAGTTGAAATGGTTCGCGACTGGAAGGTGTTGTTAATTGGAGCGTACAGAATGCAGATTCTCTGTGAATCAGTCACCAACTCTGTGCTTGATCTCCCCGATGTAGACGAGGCCACATCGGGAGCAGCGGATGCAGTAGACCACTTTGGTGGATGCGCAGGTGAACCCCTGTCTAATGCAGAAGGTTTGTTTTGTGCCATGAATGGAGGTGAGGGGGGAGGTGTAGGGGCAGGTGTAGCACTTCCTGCGGTTGCAGGAAAAGGTGCTGGGGGTGGTGGGGTTAGTGGGGAGTGTGGAACAGATGAGGGAGTAGCGGAGAGAGCGGTCCCTATGAAAGGCAGATAGGGGTGGGGAGGGAAATATCTGTTTGCTGGTGGGGTTGGATTGTAGCTGGTGAAAGTGACGGAGGATGATGCATTGGGTTCGGAGGTTGGTGGGTGATATGTGAGGACAAGGGGGTCTTTATCATTGTTGCTGTTGGGCAGAAGTGTGGGAAATACAGGAGATGTGGTTGAGGGTGTTATGAATCACGGGAGAGGGGAAATTACAGTCGTTGAAGTAGAAGGACATCTGGGATGTCCGGGAGTGGAATGCTTCATCCTGGGAGCAGATGCTACAAAGGCAGAGGAATTGGGAGTAGGAGATCGCGTTTTTGCAGGAAGGTGGGTGAGTGGAGGTGTAGTCTAGGTAGCTGTGGGAGTCGGTGGGCTTGAAATAGATGTCGGTGCTGAGTTGGTTACCAGAGATGGAGACAGAAAGGTCCAGGAAAGAGAGGGAGGTATCAGGGATGGTCCGGGTGAGGTCAGGGTGAAAGGTATTGGTGAAGTTGATGAACTGTTCAAGCTCCTCATGGGAGCACGAGGCAGCGCCAATACAGTCATCAATGTAACGGAGGAAGAGGTGGGGCATAGTGCCAGTGTAACAGCAGCAGAGGGACTGTTCCATGTATCCTACGAAGAGGCAGGCATAGCTCGGACCCACATGGATGCCCATAGCCACCCCTTTGGTTTGTAGGAAGTAGGAGGAGTTAAAGGAAAAGTTCCTTCCTGTCTCCGCTAAGTCCCTCATACTTTTATACATCTCAATCATGTCCCTCTCAATCTCCTCTGCTCCAAGGAAACCAACCCCAGTCTGTACAGTTTCTCCTCATAACTGCCCCCCCAGCGAAGTTTTGACAGGACAGAAATAGACGATTGTTGTGGGACTAATTTGTACCACATCACACAGGCTCTTTATACATGACATGCCTAGCTTAATTGGGGGCTGACCGTATTGAGGAACTTATCAGCTATGATTGAATGGCAGAGCAGACTCGATGGGCCGAATGGCCTAATTTCTGCTCCTATGTCTTACGGTGTTATGGTGTGACTCCAGCTGGATTCATGAATTGCTACTCAATTTTACAAACGGGAAAAAAAAACAGTTCAGAAAGACAGAAACAACAACAGCTTGCATTTGATAGTGCCTGCAGCCGTAAACAAACTCCCTCCTCATGGTCTTTCACAGGAGCGTGAGTTATAAAACCCAATTGGAAGCCTGCTTTTACAACACAATGCTTAATGCTTGCTCAGAGAGGTCGGTATCAATCAGAAGAGGAAGGATGGTGATATAGAAAGTCAGAGACTAAGCTCTGGAGTTTTGGGTTGAAGGTACGAATGGACCAAACAAAATAATGGAAAAAATTTAGAAGCAATGGTCAAGGCTCAGCGGCTGTTGCCAGAGAAAGGCGTAAGCGAAGGGAGTTAGAAAATCTGTGGCTTTGAGGATGGTTTGGAATTATTTAGTGATGAAGAAAGACTTGTTAGGGCTGGAGTTTTCCTCAGAGAAGAGGGAGATGAGTGGGGGATCTGAATGAGGTGTACAGTTATGAGGGGCATAGATAGATTATGGAAGAAGAAACCTTGCCCCTTAGTAAAAGCGCTATTTTAAATGGGAGGAAGGGAGGTGGGGTGTGGTTACCGGCTTAAGGTGAGCAGCAGGAGGTTTAGGGGAGATTTGAGGAAATCTGTTTTCACCAAAATTGTGTTTTGGGATTCAGAAGTTGGAACCCCCTGCCTAAAAGGGTGGTAGATGTGGGAAGCCCGGCAACTTATAACAAATATTTCAAAGGGCATGTGAAACGTTCAAGCATGGAAGGCTGCAGCACAAGAGCCTAAGAATTGGGATCGAAATAGATCGGTGCTTGAGACCAGCGCACATGATGGGCCGAAGGGCCTCTTTCTGAGCTGGAAAAGCTCCATGACTCAGTGGAAGGAAGCGTTGAGGTCGAAGCCGGGGTGGAGGTTCAGTGTAGCGAGGAAGGTGGGAGGAGGAAGAACATGTTGTTGAGATGGAAGCCAGAGGACAGACGGTGTGAGCAGTCACCCTCAACACAGCAACAGTTCCTGATGATATGTCCCACACCCAAAACAGTCAACGTGGCTTTCCTCTCACCACAGGCACCAAGAATTCCCCTGACTATTCTCCGTTAATATTTCAGCTTTCCATTCTGACGCACGAAGGCAGTACTGCACAGTTGCAGGAGCCTTTTCTGCCTCCTTCAGCCAATTCTTTTCTTTTCGCATAGTTAAAGACGTGAACAACCGGACTTGAATTTCTTCTGTTTCTGACAACCGGGTCTGGAGGGTGACCAAGGAAGGTGCAGGCAAAGTAATTTGCAGAGGGACAGGCAGGCGGTGAGAGGTAGACAGTGAGAGATAGACAGTGAGACACAGACAGTGAGAGGCAGACAGTGAGAGACAGACAGTGAGACACAGACAGTGAGACACAGACAGTGAGAGGCAGACAGTGAGAGACAGACA